GTTTTAGCTGAAGAGCACGATTTCCCTATTCTGTATCCCAGAGCTTTGAGACATTTCACTGGCATCCATTAATGCTACAGCAAGAACATCCTGAGTCCTTGGTCCGTTCTCTGGTGCTTTCTGAAATAGAAATGGCTTACTTGAGGACAGAAAGGAAAGGCTTGGGTTATTTCTGCATGTTCCGTGGAGTGATGGAAAAGTACTCCAGCGTGCTGCAAGGAAGGAAACAAATTGGATTTTCTCCTGTGCCCTTCATGTGCTCCTTTCCTTTTGGAGTTCAGTGTAGCATACCTATAGAGAAGCTGCTCTAGTGCAGGAAGGGAGGTCTTGATTTAGGCCTCAGGAGTTTGGGGCTCAATTAGTAACTCTGCTTACCAGCTTTATTTGTACAATGGGCATAAGTGACATGCTCATCTGTATTCAAGTCCACATTTGTAAAATAAGGCTATGGATTTCCAAATCTTTCTAAAGATCTTCCATCTGTTTGGATCCTCTGTATCACAGGATGACTGAAGACCCATCAAGCTCTTGATACACAGCTATATATGCACATCAATCTCCATGAATTTGAATACATACAGTTTGATCAAAATTTTAACACTTGTGAAAAGGATTAAATGTAGTATTACTTTCCTTGATTTTCAGGCAAGAATTATTTCTTGTGTTTGAAGCACAGATCAACTTTCTTTTCTAGTTCATTAGCTACTATCAGCTTTGCCAGGCTTCCAGGGAAATCAGTCTTTGACAGCACTGTTGCTCTCAAGTGGAAATATGCATGTGTCCCTGTAGAATGCTTGTTTCGTTACGTTACGCTGCACTGGTCATACTACCAGTTATTAAACACAGCTTTTTTTTTCCTCCCTATCAATCAGTTGCTGAAGTAAAACTTCTATCCTCCCCATGCTAACTGTTGACATGGAAAACAAGGAAAATGGCTCTCTGGATGTCAAAAAGTAAGTGTTTCTTTTACATAAACAGCACATGGATTTTGAATGTAGTTTTCCTTTGAACTAATGTGGTTGGCAACAGTGCCCATCTCCATCTTTGCGCATTTCAAATCCTCCCTGTTCTTAATGATTTCTGTTGTATTTCAGCTTTGAAATAGAAGAGTCCAGGGCACTGAGCTGATTAAAAGTGATATGTGGTAGGACTGTACAGCAATGAAGAGATGTAGAGGATAGTAACTTAAGTTAGGAGTACTTTTTTCTTTTCCTCTCAACCAGACACTAAAGCAAGTGGTAGCACTGTAGCCAATACTGTGCCTCTGCTCACCTGTCTGTCAGTGGCTTTTGCAGAACCAGTGCCTAATGGGAGAAGTGTCCTGTGTGGAAGTTACCTCTCTGTGCCCTTCTCTGCTGACAGCCCACCTCTCTGGGGCTGAGTAGTAGCAGGATATCACTTAGGTGTCAGTTCCCTTCTGAAACAGATACTTTAAGCTGTTTATTGGAGAAGCCTGAAGTTGCTGGGGTGTTATTTCAGACCTAGAGGAGGAATAAGGCACAGACATGGTGTGTACTGCTCTACCGCTTTCTTTTGTGTGGTAAACTACAGGCTAAGGCATTGAAGTTTTTTGTAAGCATTTATTTAAGGTCAGAAATTCTTTAATTAGGACTAGCAATTCTGAATGACATTATGGTCTGAGAAGTGAAATTCTGTGTGGAAAAATCTGGCCTTGCTACTTTAGGATTACAGAAGCCATGGTGAGAGAGATGTACACATATGTGTATATATTAAAGGAAAAAAAAATACCATAAGGAAAGATACTAGAGTAAGCTCTTAGTCTGTTCTGTCAAGCTGCAACACTTTGTGCAGCTGCACCTCATTATTCTCTTTCAGATCTCTCTTACATAAGCTGTCCAAGAAAACGTGACAATGCATAGGCTACCAGGCACTAGAGTAAGGTAAATAATAATGGTCGCTTCAGGCTACTGATAAAACACCTGATTATCAAAAGCATCAAAAGATCTGATGGCAGCCATTAAAATCAGCATCCTCCCCCTTCACTTGAGATGCTGGCTACACCACACCAACATAAAGAGCATTTTCCTATTCAGTGACTATGAATAATTATTGTGTGTCCCTTAGAAACCACTTTCCCTTTGGCAGGCTGGTTTCTACAATGAGCACTCTGGGGTGGGAGGAGAAAGGAGACAGTCAAAGCAGGGACAGTTTATGTTTAATCATTTTCCCCAAGGCTTGGGTGATAAAGACTCAACCACTGATTGCTAAGGTGGCCTTTTAGAGTGGATGGAAATTGTATTTAAACTGTGGGGCTGTGGTTTCTAGATGGATGTATATTGTATGTATGTGGGCATATCTACAAAGGAAGTATTTGACACTTTCTTGAAGTGCCTATAAATAAGCTGGATAAAATCTGTTTGTTCTCAGCTATATCCTTTCAGACCTTGCTGCTTCTGCCACATGATGGCAATAAAGGCTCAGGGACAGTGGTGAAAAACAGACAAGCCTAATTTTTATTCATTGTTAGTGCATCTAGTATCCAGTTTCAAAGCCTAAAATGCCAGTCCTCGTAAGATTTGAAAGCATCCAGGATGTGAGGCATAAGCCAGTGTATGGCTAAGCCATGGATATTATATATTCCCTTGTCTTGACTAAAGAATAGAGCCATGTCAGCAGCAGTGTGAGGAGGAGACTAACAAAGTCCACAAGCAGAATGAACATCTGTGTAGGTAGATGGGTTAAAATCCAGCCAGCCTCCAGCAGTCTGCCTCATGCCTTCCAGTCTTCTGCAGCTGTAGTGTAGCTGTGGAAATTGGCTCCACTTGAGGTCCAGCATGATGCTATTCCTTGAGGCAGGAACTTGCAGTTAATTCCTGTGATTAATTAATGACTGAGGTAGAGCCCCTGAAGTGACTGCAGTTGAGCCCTGGATGGGGCTGGACCTGGACCAAGCTGCAGCTCCCTAGTGATAAAAGAGGAGCTACAAGAAAAACTAAAGCACTTGAGCTGAGATAAAAAATTGTGGAAGGAGGGTTTGGGGCCATATTTAATTTGAAATTAAAGTGTTTGGAGAAGTAAGCAAATTACAGTTAGGTGATATTTTTACACACTGAACCTTTTATTTGCTGTTTAAGAAGGGTTAAATTCAATTTGTTTGTTTTTTTAACTGAGTGGTTGGCATTTAGTTTATTTTTTTTAGTAAAAAATGAGTAATTGAAAGTGACAGTCTGTGTCTTAAGGAAAATGCAAAGATTTAAATATAATTCCTCTAATGCTGCTTTTATAAATAAATGCAGATTTTGTGTGGCAGTTTTCACATTTTACTTCTTAAGCCTCAGAATGTGCACAACACCAAAATATCTTATTTGAAAGGCATTCTTTGATTTAAAAAAAAAAAAAAACACAAGAAAAAAGTGCAGTTCTGAAAAGGCCATGTAGTCTCATTTTCAATTTTGCTGAGTGTTGCTTTCTGTGTAATCACAATCAGTGAAGCAATTCATGAAGTAAGTCACCATCTGATGAGCAAAAGTAAGAAACTGTTCCTCATTCCTCAGAGATCTGTGATAAATGAAAGAAACTGCTTTTAGAAGGCCCAGTGTAACACAGGCTGCAGATGGTCCCTGTGGTCAGGTTTTGTTGCCATATTGACAGACACATTTCAAGAGTTTGGGGACATGCAAAAATCATTTTTTCCATGAGTCCTCCTTCCCAGGACTCAGATAGTTGTAGAAATAAGGATGTTATAGAAATCGCGATGGGAAGCACTCTATGTATAGATTGCATTTGGCTGCTTTGAAAAATGGTGTGCCCTTGCTTCACCCAGTTATTTTGCTGAAAAACATACAAGTCTAGGCAAGGCAGAGATGCTGATAGTTGGAAAAGAAAAAATTGAAGGACAGAAAAAAATATTGTCAGGAGAGTATAATCTGTGTTTCTTTTCCAGCTGGTGCTGTTGAAATCAATGTCCTGCCTCTAAGCTTCAGACCAAAAAATGGACAGGATTCTGACACCTGCCCTAATCTGTACATTTTCAATATTGCTTCATTAGCATTATGGTTAAGCAAGTATAATGATGGGAAATATTTGGCATGAACTTCAGGACTTCTGGTTGAGGAAACATGTTAAAGAAGCTCTTTCTTTGATATCTTGCTCTTCATCCTCATAAATTGCAGTAGAAAAGGCAGTCAAGCTCACTGTGTTGTTTTTTTTTACTAAAAATTTTCAGATACACCAGCCTTATCTTTGTGACAGGGTGATTGTAGTTTGAGGAAAAGAAATGCAGGATAAGGATGATAATAATATGAATATTTTGTGGAAAACAATTCCTGAGGTTAATCACAGAAGGAATTAATTGTGATTGTGTTTAACAGATGTTTTCTCAGATGCACAGCTATTTAAAAAGTCCATAGATTTGTCCAAAGATGAGTCTAACAACAGTTTTGGGAAATTTTCTATATTGAGAATTAGTTCAATCATTTGGTGCCTCTGTTTTGGTTGAGAAGTTCTGTTTGTTTGTAATTGATTTGTTATTGTTTTGCAAGGTAAAGATGCCTACCAGTAATTTCTACCCACATTACAAGGACAGTCTCATCTGTGTAAAGAATAATCCACATATAATTCTTTAAGTACTTGGTGTAGCTGAAAGCATGCTGCAGGCTTGAAAGGCAGGAGTTTGGTACCCCAGGTATGGCAGTTCTCATTCTCCAACAGCAAAGACAGCACACTTGTGTGAAGATCCTAACTGATTACTTTGGCTGATGTGAAGATTCATATACTTTCTTCTTTTCTGAAAGGAGAGGGGTCTCAGTTTTCCCCAGCATCAGGTGGAATGTGAAAGAACAGGAGACACTGTTCTGTATTGGAGTGGGGGAGATGTATCAAAGAACACTTTTCCTGCAGAAACAAGGAAGGAGGGGGACATACATGAGGTGTGCACAAAGCAGCAGCAGATGTTCTGCACACCTTTAGTGATTACTTGTCTGCATTTGCACTTTGCAGTTCACTAGAGAATGGGAGACCTCTGGATCCTGCTGACTGGGCTGTTACTGATGTTGTGAATTATTTCAGAACAGCTGGATTTGAAGAACAAGCCAGTGCTTTTCAGGAACAGGTAAATCTGTTAGCAAACGCCTTTTGACTGCCACCAGTTTCTCACATTGCAAATTTTTGCTGTGAGCCTGGTTATATACTGTAAAATGGGAGAGAAAATCCCACATTAATGGTGGGATTTGAGTCTGTTATTGGGTGACAATGCATGGGACTGTGATCTCTGAGTAATGTAATAATCTCTCTTGTTCTGAAAGCTGTGGATAATGAGTTGGAGTTTGTTTAAGATAGGATTCAGAAAGGTGAGAAATCTAAATAAATTTTCTGGCTTGAACTCAGTCTCCCTATACAACTCACTCTGTTTCACTGTCTTGTTATTTAAAATGTGAATGGTGTTTAAAATGTGAATTCCCTTTTTTCTTAGTGTATTGTGTAATTACACTCATGAGTATTTATAAAACCTGGGGCTTCTAAGCAACAATGTGAGTGTGAACGCATAGGGTGACAAAGGGGCTGCTTTGTTGCACTGAACTTGGCAGTACAAGTGAATATGGAAAGGACAGATTGGCACTAAGTTGGCAGAGGAACAGCATGTTTGTAGGACTCAGTCTGAGAAAAGGTTGGGTCTTTGTTTCTGGGCCTTTTAACTGCTGATACTGATGGAAGGCTTCTTTTGGTAGATTAGGTCAGCAAAGAGCTTCAACAGTTGTAACTCACCTGCCAGCAGCTGGGGCTGTGTGTTAGTGGGGCAGACTTGGGAAGTCAGCTTGCTTGGCCTACAGCCCACCTGTTCCATAGAGAAGTAACTTACATCAGACTGGCTGTTCAGCACCTCCCCAGATAAGTCTGTAGGCTTGTGTGTGACTACCAGGAAATTAGTCACCCCCACTTGTAATTAGTTATCCAAATAGATGGCTCGACCTTCCAAGGTTCTGAGCTGGTGCAAGTTACTGGCAGCTTGGCAGGGAGACTGTCCATTGCCCATGAAATAACATCGTGCTTGGTCAGGGTAATGTTGCTGACCTTCAGCACCACGTCTGTGAATCCAATCTGATTGTAACTGATGCATATAACAAAGTATCTAAATTTAATTCTTTGTTCTTGAGGGTGAAAAGCCTGGTGTTGGGCGATTCTCTAGTAGGTTGCAGAGAAGGTTCTTTCTGCAGCTGCTGCTAATTTTTCAGAATTTGAAGATGAGTGAACAGGCTAAAAAGGAAAATGTTTGAGTGTGTCCATTCCTTAATTCCAGCATCCATGTCACAAAAGCCCTGGAAATGTGGCTTAAAAACTATACAGGCAAAGTAATTGTGGTCTCTGGGAGTCTTTTCCTTATACTGACAGATACCTCTGGCTTCCATCAAATATTGTGACCTCTTTGCCTCACAGCTGGCAATTATTTTCAATAATATTGAAATAATTACTACTGATTTTGCAGCAGAAAGGTGAGGCTGATTTCTGAGTTTTGGCAAATCAGTCTGCAACAGCAGCCTTATAGGCTTTATTAGTATTTTGCAGTGAGGATAAGTGGTTTCAGTGGGGTAACTGAGGATGCTGCTGGGACAGCCATGTGCAGAAGTGTGGCTGTGATTCCACTGCCAACTTCACCTTATGCTAAAACCTTGGAAAGAGAGGCTGACAGCTGCCACCAGGATGTGGCCAGGAGCTGAGGGATGGATAATTGCAGCAGAAGTCATTGCCACTTCCTTCTTCCTCTCCATTAGCAGCATGAGGAGTAGCAAGTGCCTGGTTCTACGTGCCAGGTTTGCCAGCCTATTCCCTGTCTGCATCAAGAACAGCCCCATAAACAATCCTGTCCCTAACTTCTTATCAGTGGTGCTGTTCAGTTTCTTCTACACTGTCTGCTACCACTAACTTTACCTGTGTTCTTGCAGTATTTTTGTCAGGATCTCCCAGGTATGGCAGTGCAGACAGGTTCATTTTGAACCCTTAGCCATCCTCTGTCTGTAGAGCACCAGGCATGCAGCTGCAATTCTGGCCATCTCTATTTTCCTCTGTCATTTGCAGTTGCCTGGGCCCCAGAAACCCAGTTTCATTGATCTACTGCCCTGAATATGTACTGGAAGAGGAATGAGATTGTAAGCAGTAAAGGAAAGTATTCAGTTTCACCTACAATACTGGGAAATTGTTTTCCACTGAACTGCTTCAGTAGGGGTAGCACAATGGTTTCCTTACAAAATATCCTTAGCCCAGAATGTAATCATGACATCTTTTATTACACTGAGCTTTTACACAGCAATAACTGGGTCCACACTTTCCTTTGATGAATCTGAATACATCTGGACTCACCTGAAACAAGTGGCTCAAAAGATCTTTAAGACCTGAATTTTTTGTACAATACTTTAAGGATAATTAGGAGACATTTTAAGGGCTGCAGAATGTTTTATTAACCTCTATTGTAAGTGCTGGTAAAAAGTGATGCTTGTATGATGATTATCTGTTATTCCTTCTTGGAGTTCCACTGATGTCAGCAAATCAAAAGAGCTCACTGATGAAAACAGATTCAGCTGAAGGATGTTGCCTAATAACAAAAATCCGTAACATCAGCAAGCAAATCAGACAAGCCAAGAAGTTGAGGACACAGGATACCTGAAGAGGGAGGAGTAGCAGTTGCAGGATGAGGGTGTGGACACTTTCAGAAAAATACAGCCTGCCACTTTGTGGTTGAGCTTTCTGTAGGAGCCCTGGAAGCACAAGGCACTCTGGCTCAGTCCAAGACTGAAGCTGTTTATAAGGTCTCAAGATGTGCTTGTGCTCTGACCTTTGTTATGGCCCATGTGGCTTCTTGAGCCTTGTGTTGTGATAGCCAGATATGCCCAGGTGACCCAGTGCTGGTTTGCTGCCCTCACTGCAATGCCTTACCAGAAGGGAAACTGGGGTTTGACATCAGCTGGTGTCCTCTGCTGCTTTCTGGCAGAGCCACAGTAGGGAGGAGCACGTGAGTGTGCTGGCTTACTGTAAAACTTTGCATTTCTCAGTCACTTAGAGCAGAAGGGATCGTGGGGGGACTTGAAGCTTAACCAGTCCTTTGGTTGTTTGCTGAAGACAGTGTGATATTGGTGTTGAGGTCATCCTGGCACCTGAGGTCATCCTGGGGAATTATTGTTAGCTTTACTTGTGTAGAGAAGTTTCTCTGCAATTAACATTTAAAGACATACTGAGAGCTAGCATTGAAATTGCACCCTGAAAAAATCCAGAAAATAGAGAAGTAGCGGAGAAGAGATCAGAGAAGTCACCAGAGCATACAAAATCTTACCTGGTGCAAAAAAAGGTGTGACTATTCTGCAGGATCAGGTAAATGTGGAAAACTTAAAGGAAGTGAAAGAGGTAAAGCTTACAATTCACACAAAGATATAAAACGCTTGAACTCTGAATATGTAATCACTCCTTCCTACACAGATGTGTTTAAAGAATCAGTTTTCTATTCAGTGGAAGTCTTAGTAGTTACCAGCATTTCTAGAAAACACAGGGAACCCTGTGGAAGAAGAAGGGAAAGGAATAGATGCTTTTTTCCTATTCTTGGAGTTTCTCCTATTCCAGGTACTGGATTTACTCCATTTGGATCCTACCAAGCTGGAGGCTGTTCTTCCTCCATAGCATCGTTGAACAGCAGCAGAAAAGGCAACTTCAGATCGGTCATAGCAATGAGCAAAACACTCACTGGTGTCAAAATTCCCACAGAAAGAATTGTGACGAATGGAAAAGAGAGGATAGAAACTGGTTTTTTCCATTAACATTCTCAACAGTAATTGGAAAGAGGCACCTGCTATAATTGGGTAAAAAGTTATTGGAAACTTTTTTTTCTTTTAGAATTACTGTTACTTTATGCTCCCCTGAGGGATTAGTAGTTGTATACATCTTGGGGATATTTTTTTAAAATGCCACTTTCAGCTGATCTTTGACTATGTTGTGGTTTGTCCATGTATTTTGCATTTATAAAATTTATCAAATTTTAAGAGAGATCCATCTTGACAAATTCCTGCTGAGCTCTAATAGAAGTCTTCTTTTCATGTTGCATTGTAATCAAGGATTGGATCTCTGATATTTCCAAGATAATAGAAGGGAGTGGAGAGATGTGGATTCTTTCTCTTCCATTTCGAGTTTCAAAATTATTTGGAGGAAGTTTTCAAGCATATGTCAAGGTTTTGAGATGGAAAACAGAAATCCAAAGCCTTCAGGATTTCTAACCTAAACAGGTCAGAAGGTCAAGGTCTGAGAGGAAAAAGAATCCCACCATATCTGTGATTTACAAGAGGTATTTTAAGCAGGAAAGTGTCGGGGCTGTTGAAACTTAAGCTGACAAGTTGCTGCTTTTCTCGTTTTCCCTTAAAAGTAGAGGAAGAGAAGTTCTCTCAGTGTGTCAAGCTCTAGTTAGGCCCTTCCAATATTTCTGATTGCAAGAGTCTTTTCCTTTTTTTCCCCCCACAGGATGCATGGGAAGGTTGGCCTTTTAAAGAAGGCACCTGAAGTTATTAGCAGATATTCACTAGTTTAAACTTGCATATTGCTGTCAATAGTAATTCTTCTGAAATGCACTTCATAAGCTGCATTCTTAGGAGTATCCTTCCCTAAATGGCTGATAATTAGGCATTCTTCACTTGTACCTATTAATTAGAAAAGGGTTTACAAGGAGAGAATTTTGAAATTAGGCTCATTTGGATTTTGTGCTTGACTAAATAGTATTTATGCCTTAGTCAGCACAGGTGAGCACTTGAAAAACAGACAGCAAGCAGAATTTAGCAGCTGTGAACATGGTTTCAGGAAAATCAAGGCTACTATTTTCCTCAGTGATCCTCTATAGTAGTATTCCATTTGTTGCATGACTGTTCTCCTCTGTTAGATTTGTATATTTGTCTTTATCAATTCTTTAATTCTTCTTATAGGAAATTGATGGGAAATCATTACTGTTGATGACAAGAAATGATGTACTGACTGGACTTTCATTAAAACTGGGGCCTGCGCTGAAAATCTATGAATATCACGTAAAACCTCTACAGACACAACATCTAAAGAACAACTCTTTATAGCTAATTGTCTAATTGGGGT